ATATAATTTTGACCGAAGTCGAAGGAGGTTCTCATTTATTAAACTTAATTATATTAAATACACTGAAACCACCCATTGGACTCAACTCACAGTATACCTAACACCCATTGGACTCGACCCTTAGTATACCTAGATACTGTAATTGGCGCAGCCGGATTCGGACCAGGAGATCGCAAAATGCTCCAGCTCCTGATCATACTATACCTGTAAGATAGGTAAGTGAGCAAATGGTGGCGAAATTAAGAGGAAAAAAGAAAGGAAGAATGAAACAATTAAGTTGGTTAAATATATAAAAAAAGGAGAAGTAAAAAGTAACGAACCAAATTCAGGCAAGTGTACAAATGTTAGTGTTCACAAAAGTTGCGACCGAATATGTGCACATCAAACGCTGATAAGGCACCGGGATCGCATTCTTGAGGAAAATTACAAATTCATAAAACCACACATAACCAGATGCAAAGAAAAAATTTCAATTATACAGATTTGTTACCGAATATGTGCACATCAAACGCTGATAAGGCAACGGGATCTTGAGGAAAATTACAAATTCATAAAACCGCACATTTGCAACGGGGTCTTTCAAACCAAAATAAAATTTGGGGACCTACGAGTCGACTTGAGTTGCCAAACTTTATTCAAGTTTGGAATCTCCATGTTCCCCAAATTTTGTTTATCCGTAACATACGGAATAGTGAATAGTGGGCATTTCAGGATATAGTGATCCTTAGAGTCGCAAAAGGTACAAAGTTGTTGGTTTCTGATGTGTGTGGCAATGAATCTGCTTCAATTTGATCTATGGGAGCTTCGGCTCTGTTAAGCGCTGTTAAGATTTTCCAGCATACGACATCTCCGTTCTAGGAAGGTTGACATATCAGTCCAGCTGGGAAGCTTGTCGGATGGCAATGCCTCCTCCCATCTTTCCTGAGTGCTGTGGTCGAGCTTGCGTGAGATAATGTGAATGGTAATCCATCGGCCAGTTGAGGAATGGTTGACATGGTGCTAAGTGCCCGAAGGTGCTAGTTGATTTTGTCACTTAGACCGCGCAGGGCTTCTGAAGATCCTTTTTCAACATTTACCAGCCCAAAAATATCTCGAACATGACCCTGAAAATGTAGCAATTTGTTATCAAAACGCTTTGTAAGTAACTCCAATGCCTTATCGTAATTGGCATCGGCAGGTTCCAACGATTTGATTGTGTTTAGAGCCGCGCCATCCAAGCATGCGCGCAGGTGTTGAAATTTCTCTGCAGTGCTTAAATCCTCGTTGTTCCCTACGACACTGTTGTACATGGCAATGAAATCTGGCCAATCCTCGTAGCTGCAGCTGAACCTGGGCAAGTGTAATTCTGGTAGCCGAGAGTTGCGCTTGTTTAGTTGGGAGGGAAAATTGATATTGTCCTGGTAGGCAGGAAATGCTGTTGAGTTAGCATCTGCAATGTGTGACTTCATAAAGGCATCCATGTGGCGAGTCAGCGAAGACTTTGCTTTCCAATAGGAAATTGCGAACTCGTAGCGTGCATTTGAGGAGAGCTCGATTAGGTCCACCCTTTCCACTTTATCTTGCCACATTTCAAAGTCGTCCTTCATTTTGTTAACTGTGTCTATACGAACTAATAAGTCGGCTTTGTCGAGTCAAGTCGCCGATGCTGAAATGGTCGCCCATTGCCTTTAGTTGGCGCTGAAGGGATGCGCACTTGGCCTTGTAGAAGTCAATATCAGCCGATTCTTTATCTTGACTGTCTGCCGGTGGCAAGTTGTCAGCAACTTTGGCCATCTTAGATGTTGTTCACTGTAGCACGACTAACGGATGCAAGAAATTTACCCTTGACGATTGCGAAAGTCAAATTTGGGCACAGGAAAACGGGATTACCGTTTTCTGGAGACGATTGTATGTGTGTGTGTGAGGAATGTGCCTGACGGCGTTTGGCCAGACAGCAAAAGGTTAGAACTGAAGTTGCGATTTGCACTAAAACCCAGATAGTATCACGTCGGGGTCACCAATGTTTTGAGGAGATGCTGTTTTGCATCCCACTTCGGCCGTTTCTATTAATTTAAAATAAAAAAACCTAGCCTTCGTTTTAAGATCGTGTACTTTTAAGCTTTAGGCAAGAACGAGAAAAGAGAATAGTAGGTGTTGTACAGTGTTTGTTTTTTAGGTTTTAAATTCGTAGTGTTAAATTAACATGATGCTGTTAGCGCAACGCAGACGCTGTTAGCAAACTACGTTACATTTAGAAATTGATAATAAACAATTAAATTTAGGCGTTCTGCAGCGAACACTAACACCTAGATTTTTCTTACACAAAGTCAGAACCGATAAAGGAGTTACATTACTAACAACCAGACAACAAAAACTACACAAGCAGAAAATAAGAAAGATAATCAGGAGAAATAATAACACTCAATGAACTACTTCATTCCAGAACTACTCATTCCCCAGTCCTTCTCTTTAGAAAGACTCAACGGATCTTCACCCTCGCCTTCATTCATCTGGGAGACGCTCTTATAACACAGAGCTATACAATTCTAACCCATGTCGTAGATGTCCAAGAGTTTAAAGAATGCCTTTCCGGAATAAAAAACACATTAAAAGCCCTCAGACTAGATGAAACATTTGACATTTCGCTAGGAATTATAAAAGGGAAACTACAACAACTAAAAGCCAGAATAGACACCCTACTCCCACACACTAGAACAAAAAGGGGTTTAATTAACGGCCTAGAAACCAATCTCAAGTCAATTTCGGGTAATTTAGACAATAACGACGGACAAAACATACTTGCAGAAATCAATACCCTAAAGGTACCTCCCACGCATTAAAAAATACCCAAGAAAAACAGGCAAATTTCGATATGCCGGTTATTATTAGACTTAATAATATTACGAACCATATAAATAGCGACCAAATCAAAATACAAAAATTTCTAGACACAGCACAAAACACTATCTTCAAAGAACTTAGGGAAGATAGAGAAAACAATTTTACACTCCAATATATTAATCGAATAAATTTCCATATTGATACCTTGAAAGAACTCATTAATAATATAGCTGAGAGCCTTCTGGCCAGCAAATTGGGCTTAATCCCAAAATTTTTGTTTAACAAACAAGAAATAAATACTATAAGACAATATAATATAATAATAATACAATTAGATGAACACATCTATAATATACTTACACCATCTTGTTTCACTTTTAATAACAAACTATTGTTTAATGTTAAGATACCAATTTTGGATACAAAAATTTATAAGTTCACCCACATCATACCCCTACCAGTAAATAATTCACATTTCATCATTTCCCCCGAATTCTTGGCACATGATAACAACACTTTACATCAATTTCGCGAAAGCTGCCTTAAGGTGGAACAAGAGTTCTTCTGTCAGGGAATCCACACGGACTTGACAACAAAAAACAACAAATGCCTGTTGGACATTGTCAAAAACGTAAAGGAGACAAATGTGACAGGTCACGAAATGAACATATTCGAACCGGAAAATCAACCTTAAAGCAACCTGCAACGATGAAATACTTTTAAGTGGCTCTTTCTTAATACGTTATAAGAATTGTACCATATGGATAAACGGAATAGAATACAGCGACAGAGAACTAGTGGAACATGATCATTTCACTCTCGTACTTCCACCAGTCGTCAAGATAACAAAAAATCAAACGATCAAAACATTATCACTGGAAAAATTACACTTAGAAGTCCTTTCGACAGCTGGAAAAATCATCAATATGGATAACAGATAACAGCAGAACCAACACTTAACAGCTATGCGAAACCACAAACAAACCAACAGTTCAGTTACGACAAACCTGCCAACTATGCAGATTCTCATTCTCCACTCGAATCTGCTAGATATGCGAATTCCCAATCATACCATTTCATTCCCATATATTCCAATGTATTCCAGAAGTTACTCTTTAGTTTGTAGAACAATAAAGATTCATTATAATTTTGACCGAAGTCGAAGGAGGTTCTCATTTATTAAACTTAATTATATTAAATACATTGAAACCACCCATTGGACTCAACTCACAGTATACCTAGCACCCATTGGACTCGACCCTTAGTACACCTAGATACTGTAATTGGCGCAGCCGGATTCGGACCAGGAGATCGCAAAATGCTCCAGCTCCTGATCATACTATACCTGTAAGATAGGTAAGTGAGCAAATGGTGGCGAAATTAAGAGGAAAAAAGAAAGGAAGAATGAAACAATTAAGTTGGTTAAATATATAAAAAAAAGGAGAAGTGAAAAGTAACGAACCAAATTCAGGCAAGTGTACAAATGTTAGTGTTCACAAAAGTTGCGACCGAATATGTGCACATCAAACGCTGATAAGGCACCGGGATCGCATTCTTGAGGAAAATTACAAATTCATAAAACCACACATAACCAGATGCAAAGAAAAACTTTCAATTCTACAGATTTGTTACCGAATATGTGCACATCAAACGCTGATAAGGCAACGGGATCTTGGGGAAAATTACAAATTCATAAAACCGCACATTTGCAACGGGGTCTTTCAAACCAAAATAAAATTTGGGGACCTACGAGTCGACTTGAGTTGCCAAACTTTATTCAAGTTTGGAATCTCCATGTTCCCCAATATTTTGTTTATCCGTAACATACGGAATAGTGAATAGTGGGCATTTCAGGATATAGTGATCCTTAGAATCGCAAAAGGTACAATGTTGTTGGTTTCTGATGTGTGTGGCAATGAAAGAGCTTCGATTTGATCTATGGGAGCTTCGGCTCACCTGAAGGCAAGGTGTGGGTACCGTAGCGCTGTTAAGATTTTCCAGCATACGATATCTCCGTTCTAGGAAGGTTGACATATCAGTCTAGCTGGGAAGCTTGTCGGATGGCAATGCCTCCTCCCATCTTTCCTGAGTGCTGTGGTCGAGCTTGCGTGAGATAATGTGAATGGTAATCCATCGGCCAGTTGAGGAATGGTTGACATGGTGCTAAGTGCCCGAAGGTGCTAGTTGATTTTGTCACTTAGACCGCGCAGGGCTTCTGAAGATCCTTTTTCAACATTTACCAGCCCAAAAATATCTCGAACATGACCCTGAAAATGTAGCAATTTGTTATCAAAACGCTTTGTAAGTAACTCCAATGCCTTATCGTAATTGGCATCGGCAGGTTCCAACGATTTGATTGTGTTTAGAGCCGCGCCATCCAAGCATGCGCGCAGGTGTTGAAATTTCTCTGCAGTGCTTAAATCCTCGTTGTTCCCTACGACACTGTTGTACATGGCAATGAAATCTGGCCAATCCTCGTAGCTGCAGCTGAACCTGGGCAAGTGTAATTCTGGTAGCCGAGAGTTGCGCTTGTTTAGTTGGGAGGGAAAATTGATATTGTCCTGGTAGGCAGGAAATGCTGTTGAGTTAGCATCTGCAATGTGTGACTTCATAAAGGCATCCATGTGGCGAGTCAGCGAAGACTTTGCTTTCCAATAGGAAATTGCGAACTCGTAGCGTGCATTTGAGGAGAGCTCGATTAGGTCCACCCTTTCCACTTTATCTTGCCACATTTCGAAGTCGTCCTTCATTTTGTTAACTGTGTCTATACGAACTAATAAGTCGGCTTCGCCCATTGGTCGCCCATTGCCTTTAGTTGGCGCTGAAGGGATGCGCACTTGGCCTTGTAGAAGTCAATATCAGCCGATTCTTTATCTTGACTGTCTGCCGGTGGCAAGTTGTCAGCAACTTTGGCCATCTTAGATGTTGTTCACTGTAGCACGACTAACGGATGCAAGAAATTTGGGCACAGGAAAACGGGATTACCGTTTTCTGGAGACGATTGTATGTGTGTGTGTGAGGAATGTGCCTGACGGCGTTTGGCCAGACAGCAAAAGGTTAGAACTGAAGTTGCGATTTGCACTAAAACCCAGATAGTATCACGTCGGGGTCACCAATGTTTTGAGGAGATGCTGTTTTGCATCCCACTTCGGCCGTTTCTATTAATTTAAAATAAAAAAAACCTAGCCTTCGTTTCAAGATCGTGTACTTTTAAGCTTTAGGCAAGAACGAGAAAAGAGAATAGTAGGTGTTGTACAGTGTTTGTTTTTTAGGTTTTAAATTCGTAGTGTTAAATTAACATGGTGCTGTTAGCGCAACGCAGACGCTGTTAGCAAACTACGTTACATTTAGAAATTGATAATAAACAATTAAATTTAGGCGTTCTGCTGCGAACACTAACACCTAAGAAAGATAATCAGGAGAAATAATAACACTCAATGAACTACTTCATTCCAGAACTACTCATTCCGCCACGCAGTCCTTCTCTTTAGAAAGACTCAACGGATCTTCACTCCTCGCCTTCATTCATCTGGGAGACGCTCTTATAACACAGAGCTATACAATTCTAACCCATGTCGTAGATGTCCAAGAATTTAAAGAATGCCTTTCCGGAATAAAAAACACATTAAAAGCCCTCAGACTAGATGAAACATTTGACATTTCGCTAGGAATTATAAAACGGAAACTACAACAACTAAAAGCCAGAATAGACACCCTACTCCCACACACTAGAACAAAAAGGGGTTTAATTAACGGCCTAGAAACCAATCTCAAGTCAATTTCGGGTAATTTAGACAATAACGACGGACAAAACATACTTGCAGAAATCAATACCCTAAAGGTACCTCCCACGCATTAAAAAATGCCCAAGAAAAACAGGCAAATTTCGATAAGCAGGTTATTATTAGACTTAATAATATTACGAACCATATAAATAGCGACCAAATCAAAATACAAAAATTTCTAGACACAGCACAAAACACTATCTTCAAAGAACTTAGGGAAGATAGAGAAAACAATTTTACACTCCAATATATTAATCGAATAAATTTCCATATTGATACCTTGAAAGAACTCATTAATAATATAGCTGAGAGCCTTCTGGCCAGCAAATTGGGCTTAATCCCAAAATTTTTGTTTAACAAACAAGAAATAAATACTATAAGAAATGTGTTAACCACACAAAACATTACCTTACAATTAGATGAACACATCTATAATATACTTACACCATCTTGTTTCACTTTTAATAACAAACTATTGTTTAATGTTAAGATACCAATTTTCGATACAAAAATTTATAAGTTCACCCACATCATACCCCTACCAGTAAATAATTCTCATTTCATCATTTCCCCCGAATTCTTGGCACACATAACCAAATGCAAAAAAAAACTTTCAATTATACAGATTTGTGACCCAATATGTGCAGATCAAACGCTGATAAGACACCGGGACCACGTAATCAATAAAAATACAAGAAAATTTTTTTTACACATAAACTGTGTTAAAATTCGTGACCGTATATGTGCACATCAAACGCTGATAAGGCACCGGGATCACGTAGCTGAAATACAATTTTTTTTTGTCCCTCTCTTTTCTTTTCACTTGAGCTGAAACTGTTGCATCGCCAGTTTTCGCTTGTTGTGGCTTTGCGAACAAATTAGTATCTCCAACTGTACACTAAGCGGGAAATTGGATTCAAACAATTACGTCATTATACCTCGTTCGAAAATATTCACCTCTTATAGTCGCCATATGTTCACTTGCCTATATTAAATTATATCACCAAATTTTAAACAAATCACTTACTCTATATATATATACATTACAGTCAACACTAAGAAAAAAGACACAGGGAGTGGATACCAACGAGAAAACACACAACAACTAATTGCACCAAGTAACATCTACTCAAATACTAAACAGATTATTAATAAGATATAAACATATAACATTACAATTACATATTAAGATAACATATTTATAACATAGGGAAGGTAACTAAATGTTAAAAAAAGTTAGCGCAGCTAGTAGAAGAATAGGTTTAAGAAGTAAGGGCAGTTTGCAAGACCTAAGTGTACTTGGAGAGGAAGAGTTGCACGACCAAATAAATCAACCTTCTAACCCCAACATGAATCATTCAGACTCTGGTAACGCTTCGGGTTCCATCAGCCCCACAGTTAGCAACTCGTTGACTATCGTCAACACAAATTTAAGTCCGAAAGATATATTAGCGTTTGTACAACTTACGAGGGTCCCTCTGACAACCTGGAAACTTTTATTACTAGCGTTGAGGAATTACTAATACTCATTCGTTCCGTAGATCAGACGGCGTACGGACAGTTGAACCTTAGGGCTGTTAGGAATAGAGTAAAAGGCAAGGCACACGATGCATTGACCCTGTGAGGCACATCACTCATCTGGGACGAAATCAAAGCAAATCTTAAACGACTTTACACTAGCAAGAAGACGGAAGCTATATTGATCCGCGAAATTCAAACCTTACCAAGCAGACTCTCCATTCATAAATCATTCTTCGCAATAGCAAAATTGAGAGGCCAACTGGTATCATTGACTAACGACTCAGGCCGAGGTGGCCAGAACACCACGGAAAAACACGCCCTTTACTCCGATATCTGCCTTAATGCATTTATAGTCGGATTAAACGGTCCATTAAAAACAATAATTAGATCCCGAAATCCAGAATCTATAGAAAAAGCTTACGAATTGCCACCGCGGAAATTCGGGCGAACGAAACCGCCCATATCAACGTTACGAACAGAACCAGAAACAATCGGATAACAACAACACTAAAAGAAATGAGACACGACAACCATCCCAAAATCGATACGAGAGCCATTCATCTAAAAAAAAAAACCCATTCCGGGGTAATTCAAGATCTAACGACAATACCCCTACTGCTTCCTGCAACATCAACGATGGTGCAAATTTTTCAACAAAAGAACCAAAATTCTTTTTATTTGACTTCCACCCACATTTTAATGGTCTCTTGCGCATGGACTTTTTAAGTTAGCTTAGATGCAAAAATAAACATAGCGGACTCTGTTCTAGAAATGAAAAAGGCATCTTTACCAATCCTAACAAGCACAAACCCGGTAGACACAACACATACCGTACCACTAAACACGAATATCAGATTGTCACTCCCTGTAAACATAATGGAAGGGGATTTCTTATTCGAAACCACAACCCTAAATAATGACTTATCAATCACGGGGGGACCATACACTGCACTGGTGGCGATTGGTAATAGATCTCCGTAAATTAAACGAAAAAACAATTTCAGATAGGTACCCAATCCCTAATATAGCAGACATATTGAACAGTATAGGGAAAACGAAATAGTTTACAACAATTGATCTGGCTAGTGGTTTTCATCAGATTCAGATGAATCCACGTGATGCAAACAAAACGGCGTTTACTGTCGAAAACGGACATTACGAGTTCACAAGGATGCCTTTCGTTATGCGTTATGGACAACGTCCTGGGAGATCTGATAGGGAAGGTTTGCCTTGTATATCTTGACGATATTATTATATTTTCCCCTTCACTACAATACCACATAACAGACATTAAATCGGTATTAACTAAATTACAAACAGCAAACTTGAAAATACAACCCGCAACGTCCAATTTCCTAAAAAAATAAATTGACTTTTTAGGACACATTGTTACACAAGGAGTGAAACCTAATCCCGGCAAAATTCAAGCAATTAAGAATTTCCCTTAGAGAAATTAAGTCTTCCTTGGGCTTATTGGGTTATTACAGGAAGTTAATAAAAGACTTCGCTGGAATAATCAAACCTTTAACTAGACAGCTGAAAGGAAAAAATCAATAGTGATAGACGAAGAATTTAAAGAAGCGGTAGCCTATTCTAAAAATCTCTTGTGTAATGACCTGATTCTAGCTTACCCCGATTTCTCAAAACCGTTCACTCTGACCACAGACGCGAGTAACTTCGCCATAGGCGCGGTATTATCTCAAGGACCAAACACCAACGATAGGCCTATTTCATTTGCCAGTAGAACACTATCTGACACCGAAGTTAGATATTCAACAATAGAAAAAGAGATGCTTGCGATCGTTTGGTCTGTAGGACACTTTAGACCCTACCTTTTCGGGCGCCGATTCAAAAAGGTGACCGACCACAAGCCGTTAATCTGGCTGGAAAATCTTAAGGGCCAAAATTACTTCGGTGGAAAACCACCCTAGCCGTGTATGACTATGAAGTGGTCTATAAAAAGGGATCTCAGAATGTCGTCGCTGATGCACTCAGCAGAATAGAACCTAATCTAAATGTAAATGAAGATTCAGCAAGAATAACAGTTGTTCAGAAGTCACTGAACTATTTTAACATCCAAAAAATCTTTCAAATCGGTTCATTCATCAATCCCAGTACAATTAATTACTCCATTTCCCCATAAGTTAAGACGCATATTTTCGGAACCGGAGTACACATTTGACGCAATCACAAAAATACTGCAGACTATTCTAAAGCCAAATAAAACGCATGCCATATTAGCACCAGACAACGTCTTTTATATAATAGAATAAGCATACAACAACTATTTTACAGGAAATAACCTGTATAATATAATATTTGTCGTTGCTCATCACTTCTAACCGACCTTCACGATCTACAGGAACAAAAGCAAAGGGATCAGTCATACCATCTTAATAGTAACCACAGAGGTATCGACGAGACCCTTAATCGTCTTAAAAGAG